TAGCTAAACATTAGCAGAAATAACTCCAAAGAGAAGGGTTCTGCCATTGACAATCTCAGCCGAAAGGTTAGCAAGTTTTCTTTACCTATTTATTTTAATATTGCAGTTAGTACTTTTCTTCCGAAAGTGACACAGATCTCCTTTCTCTGATTTTCCTAGTTCTCTTCTCCACTTGCTTACACGGTGGACCATCTCTCCTTTGATCAACCAAACAAAGAACGGAAGAAATGGATTCACAGGCAGAAGTTAAGAGTGAAAACAAATGCAATGGAGATGTTAATATCGATGCAAAGTTGCTTGGTCTAGCTCTGGAACAAACTCCTTTACCCCTTGCAACCTCCCACCAGCCACCACTCATCATGTCCTACAATGAGCGAATTCGTCCCTTGCTGGATGCCATTGATCGCCTTCGTCAACTCAAGATCGCCCAAGAGGCATTCAACTTCCCACCATCGTGGTTGTCGGTGATCAATCTTCTGGCAAGTCCAGCGTCCTTGAATCTCTTGCAGGCATCAATCTTCCCCGTGGCCAAGGCATATGTACTAGGTAAAGTGACAACTTGTGCTTTTTGATCTTGTTCATGAAATTCTTTTTTCAATTATATTAAGAATAACTTATTGAAAGAAAAAAATAGTGTCTATTTTGTTTCAACCACTTTTTCTCTTCTGTTCTTGTGGTGCTTCCTGTTAGGGTTCCTCTCATCATGCGCCTTCACCATCACTCAAGTCCTTGCCCTAATCTCCGCCTCGAATTCAACAATAAAACTGTCCACACCGACGATGCCCACATCGCTGAGGCCATTAAAGACGCCACCAATGAGATTGCTGGTGCTGGAAAAGGGATCTCAAACACTCCATTAACTCTAATCGTTGAGAAAATGGGGGTTCCAGATCTTACAATGATCGATCTCCCGGGATCACAAGGGTCTCTGTTCATGGCCAACCCCAAGATATCTACGAGCAAATATCTGCAATTATAATGGAGTACATAACCCCAGAGGAGAGCATAATACTTAACGTTCTCTCTGCTACTGTGGATTTTTCAACATGCGAGTCAATAAGAATGTCTCAGAGTGTAGACAAAACTGGACAAAGACTCTAGCTGTGGTAACCAAAGCCGACAAAGCTCTGAAGGTACGGGAGCATTTTATGTGAAGTGTGCAAGTTATAATTTTAGTTTGATTTTTAATAATTAGATTTGGTTTTATTACTTTTTGTTTTAGATATTTTTAAAATTAAACTAAATTAAATTAATTGTAAATCAAACTAAAAATTTTAGTTAAATTAATTTGGTTTGATTTGATTTTATTTTAAAATTAATTATTTATTATTTAACAATTATTTAAATAAATTATTTTTAAAAACTTTTTATTATCACATATATATGTATATTTGTGTGTGACACATGTATGTAAATATATCTACAATGAGATATATATATATATATATATATGCATACATTTATATGTACATACATATATGTGCATATTGTATATATATATGAATATATCTATAGATGTAGATATAAATATTTATATATAAATATATTAAAATATTATAAAAAGGTCAACTTTGGACCACGTAAATTTATATTGTTGGCATCTGGAGTTGTTAAGCATTTCTATTGCTTTGGTTGAGGTATAGAGCACAGTAGCACGATTTTATTTTATTTCTTCTTAAAAGGTAGGTACAGTTCGTTCACATAAAATCGTAATTACCGGATGCAATTTTAAATATATATATATAAGTTTGTGTATATCTATATATATATATATATTAAATGTATAAAATATGTATGTATATGTATATGTAACAAATATATTCATATAAATAAATATATATACTTTTGTATGTATTATTGTAGAGAAAATATTTTTAAAATTTTGGTTTATGATTTAGAATAGTGTGATTTAGTTTTTAGATCAAATCAAATTATAATTTTGGATTATTTTGTTAAATCAAATCAATCCAAATCAAATTTTAAACAACTAAATGAAATTTTAAAATTTACTTTAGTTTAATTTAATTTGATTAATTAGTTTGGTTTTACTCACCCCTAATTTTGTCTTTTAACTGTTTTATATCGGTGAATTGAAATCATTCTAAAATATTTTGAAAATTTTACAAAAATAATTAAAATAATTGATTTGTATTTTTATATTATTTCATCATGATCGATGTTGTCATCCTCAAATTGAAGGCTTGCATGAGAAGGTCACTGCCGATGATGTCAACATTGGCCTGGGATATGTCTGTGTGAGGAATCGAATCGGCGAGGAGTCCTACGAGGATGCGAGAAGAGAAGAAACTAATCTTTTTCAGACCCATCCTCTGCTTTCCAAAATTGACAAGTCCATGGTGGGCATTCCGGTGCTTGCCCAGAGGCTGGTTCATATTCAGGCATCAATAATCTCGAAATGCTTGCCAGATATAGTAAGAAAGATTAATGATAAACTCAATGAGTATGTTTTGGAGCTAAGCAAAATGCCAAAAACCTATCATCAGTAGCAGAGGCACTGACTGCCTTCATGGGGATTATTGGACTGTCCAAGGACTCTCTGAGAAAGATTATGTTGAGAGCCGAATTTGATGAATACCCAGATGATGAAAACATGCATTGCACCTCTCGTTTGACCGAAATGCTTGGAAATTTTACACAAAAGCTTCAAAAAAGTGCGGAAGATAACTCCACAGAGAACTTTCTTTTTGAAGAAATTAGGGTGTTGGAAGAAATAAAAGGAATTTGGCTCCCTAACTTCTTGCCCCGCCAGGGTTTCCTCACAATGCTGCAAAGGAAACTTAACAAAATATCACATTTGCCCTTAGATTTCATGGGGGAAGTATGGGATTACATTGAAAAAGTTGTGAATGCTGTGCTGATGTGTCATTCAGATGGATACCCGCAACTTCAATCTTCTATTAGAAGAGCAGCGAACAACCTTGTGGAGAAGATGAAGAGGAAGGCCTTTGATCGGGTGACAGAAATGGTAGAAATGGAGAAGGTGACAGACTATACCTGTAATCAAGAGTATTTGGAGGTGTGGGGGAAAGTTGATGGCTTACCAGAATGAGTTTATGAAGGTCATGAACCACCAGTCAAATCGGACAACTTTGGAAATTGAAGGCTTAGGAGAAGTTGAAACCAGTCATCTGAGATGTTATCCTAATAGCATCAAAGAACAAGCTTTTGATTTGAAAATGAGGATTACTGCTTACTGGAAGATCGTCATTAAAAGGATTATTGATGCTGTGGCTCTGTGAACTTGCTGCTAAGCATAGACAATCTAGTTAATCAAGAGATAGAGAAGGAGATTGTGAACCATATGGTAGGTGGTCAAGGCAATGGGATTGAGCGGATGCTAGAGGAGTGCCCATCAATTGCAATCAAGCGTGAGAAGCTGAACAAAAGTATTAAGTTGCTAAAGGAGTCCAAGGAGGTTGTGGCTGAGATAATGGACAGGAACTTTTAATGGTGACTGCCTTCAATCTTCCTCATTGTCTCTTATTGTTGGTTTTTGGGGTTGATATATGTATTTATGTTGTTTCTCGTTTAAGTACTTTCGAATGTTTTAGTGATTTTATCTATTTTCTGTTGAATTTTGAAATTTAACTTTTTCTGAAATTATGCTGTAAGATTCATGATTTCTTTTAGCAGCTTGGAGCTTCTCTATTAATTAGAATCATCTCTTTTAAGTAGAGTGAAAGTTACCTTCACTGCAGGATGAGGATGACATGAGAGTGTGCATACGATGAAAACATAGCATCTAAAAATCATAATTAGGATCCATCCTAAATATTCACATTACGTGGCGATGATATTAGTGTTGCATTCTTTGTTTTTATGGTACTGTTCCGAAAAGGAAAATAGGAAAGCATGTTTAATAATAGGTATTGATCCTGAGAAGATTATGAAAATTAATATATTTTTTAGGGTCTTTTGTGACTATTTTTAGGTGGATCACCCAACTTCAATTCCTTTCAATCGGGTCATAAAAGTTATTTAAGTGCTACAATTAGATCACTCCATCCGTCATTCAATTTTTTTAAGGGCGTTGGGACAATTAACTACAATTTTTACAATGACTTGCAAAAATTTTCCAAACATAGTATATATAATAAAGTTTATCACAAGTAAAAGATCAAATGTAATTTTTTTTTTTTAGTAAGGAGGTTAATTGTTACTAGTGCAAAAACAATTTCTAGTATGCTCGTTAAAATGATTGCTCTCTTAATTGGTTAATTTTCTAGGGGGCAAAATATTAATATCAATAATAAATAGGAAAAAAGCTATTTCTTTTCCTTTTTATATTGGAGGAAAAACTCTTCTCATAATTAAAAAATTAACTTTCACAATTTAAAATAAGATCCAATAAATTATAAATAAAACCAAGAAAAAAAACACTATTAATTTCAAATATGCTTCATTACTTTCTAATTGTTTACTTCACTAAAGTCTTGTATGTTAAAATGTTGTCCTGTTAACCAATTAAATCAGCTTGTTATATTATTCATATAATACAATCTTATTTGTTTAATATATGTGTTTGTATTCTTGCATTTTAACTGAATTTATCACATATACGAGATAACTATATATTCGGATAAAACCCTTAAATTATACATGATTATGAATTTGGTCATGTATATAGACATTGATTATAAAATAAGTCTTTATGAGTCTAATATTTAGACGTGTAAAAGGGGCTTATTTACTTAATGGAATTTAGAAATTGAGCCCCTCACGGATCCATTCACAACCATCTTCATCAAATGACACATAGACATATTAATATTTGTTCTTACATTTTCTTTTTAAGTGTTTAGATTATGGAAATAAATAGAGAGAAAGAAACAAATCTTATCTCTTTTAGGTGTTTCTCCTTTATTATGTTCAGACCAAACCTAAGATAAAGGGTGGAAATTACGAACACATAGTATCAACTTCCAAGCAAGAAAAGCGAATCACTGAGGTCGTTAGGTGAAAAATTGACAAGAGAAACAACTTAGCAAGCCAAAAACCTACATTCTTGCATATATGCATTGGTAGTGCAAGTACGGTTAATAAAGGAATTCAAATGAAAAGTTTATAATTAATATATAGTTTCATGTGCAAATGACATATTCACGGGGAAGTATACATAGGTTAATAAATATTAAAAAATACTAATAAATAAGAACAATTATTTAAGATACTAAAATTTATTCAGTTCAAAAATTTAGAATATACATATATATAACATTAAAATCTTAATTTACGAGCAAGTTATTCTCAGATAATAAAATATTTATTTAATACATAAGAAAAAGTAATTTGTTTGTTTGCATATTTAATAACTTATATATTAATATTTAATAAATTATATATTAATATTTAATATATATTTAATCGTATATTTATTTATTTGTTTTTTCAAAAATTAAATGCCCGGCTGGATTGAAAGTTATTTGTTTTTCCAAATATTTACGCGGTAGCAGATTCATTGGGTTCAATAGTGGATTTAAATGGGAGACCACTTGAAGTATTCCGTCGGCTAATTTACGCCCAGACTTAGATCCAAATTTGAAGCCATCTAGTGGATTCAATGGGCTTGGACTCTTGTTGAATCTTTGGGCTTCGCCTGACCCAAAGTTTTAACGGGTAACGGACTGCTTCAAGTTCTTCAACCCAGAGAAAAGCTTTTTACTTGGCCCCACCCAACAATATTGGTTCTCCTACAGACCCAACCATCACATACTAATTTCTCCTTATAATGAGCACAGTGGTAGAGCAAATTTCCAAATTTTCCAAATGTTATCTATTTCTCCTTAAATGGACCACACTATCAAATATTCCGAATGTATGTAGAGCAATTTTCTTTTACACTTAAAAAAATTGACAGCCAAATAAAGTTATTTTTTGTTTAAATAATCATATGAAAATAATTCATCTTAGTATTATGGCCTGTTTATTTACTTCTTGTCTTGCTAAAATTAACCTCTACCTTTTTTGAGCTATTATAATTGACTATTTAGTTAGGAAACATATGAAGAACTTATAAGAGGGATTGTTCTGATCCACAAATTCATGGTGACCATATACAGGAGATGGTCAAGGTAGCACCAAGCAACCATAAAATTAGAGACAAAAGGCTTGGATGGTTTTGAAATGCGGGGGGAAATGACTATGAAGCGTTGAAAGTAATGTCCAGATCTGCAATGTGCCTAACTTCCCAAAACTGTTGCAAGATAGGAGGGGTGTGTGTACTAGATAAAGCATCTTGGGTTTTCTCGACGACTAAAGAAATTCAAACATGGATGAGGCCTCCAACAGGAGTCGTATGCAAACACGAGACATTCTGAAAATTGCACTTTTGAAAATCAGAAATCAAATATTGAAACAAGATCAGGAAACATGTAAAATTTGTATGTTCTTTTTCTAATTATGTTTTTAAATATTACATCCATATTTCACAGCAAACTGACCAAAAAATAATCAGTAGAAAATAGGCAATAATCTTACATCCAGTAGAAGAAGTCCATCTCTTACTGCATGATTCTCTCTATACGTATGAAAATTAAAATATAAATATCTCCATTTCATTTTAAAAACTTCATATATTTCTTCTTTAATATAAACTAGAGATACGTGCATGTTCCAAGCCAGGAAAAAAAAAGAAAAAGGAAAGGACATGCCACTTGTTGTTTGTCGTGTTTCTTGGTGTCTCTGTATTGTATTGTATTCAACACAGATACAACAAGCAAAGGAAGCTTGAACAAGCAGTTGAGTACAACAGACAAAGGAGATTTCAAGCTTCAATGCCACAAGAGCTCTGTGACCAACTAAGCACACGGATGGCAGATGGCGGAGGGAAGACGATGGTAGACAGCGGAAGGAAGACGACTAGCGGACGGCAGATTAAAACAGAGAGAGGGGGAGAGAGAGAGAGCGAGAGTGAGTGAGTGAGTGAGTGAAGGAAAGTGGCGTTAAGCTTTTAAAAGCCCTTTCCCAAAGGCTTTCTGATGGAAAGCCGTGGGACAAAGGCACTAATGCCGAGAATTTCATCGATTTTTCGACGAAAGCTACCTTCCGTTGAAAACCGGTTTAGGAAAAACTTGACAAATCGGACCTGCCGGTCAGTCCCATTTTCTCAATTCAAAAAACCGGTTTAATATAAATCAATTTTTACCAGTTTAGAAAACAGTTGTTTATAACTTTTTTCAAATATTGTCGTAATATTTTATAATTTAATACAATATTTTAATTACAATCCCGGTAATTATTTATATTCATACGGATATTATATTTTTGTAATATTACATTAGAATATTAAAATAAAAATTAAATGACAATTGGTGGTGGGTTAATACTAATATATTAAAATGTTTATCTATTTTTTATTATTCTCTCTCTCTCTCTCTCTCTCTCTCTCTCTCTCTCTTTCTCTTTATATACACATATATACACACACATATATATAAACACATACATATATTTATGTATGTATATGTATGTGTGTAGTTATAAATACATATATTCATATATATGTATAAATCCGTACATGCATAATTGTATAAATATTTGTGTGTGTGTATTCACTCACACATAAACACACACATATATGTATGTGTGTATGAATGCATATATATATATATATATATGTGTGTGTGTGTGTGTGTGTATAATATATACACACAGAGATATGCATGTATGTGTCCAAATATACAAGTATAGTGTGTATGTACATGTTATATTACATATGTAAACATACAAATACATACATATATATATATATATGTATGTATACATATATATATATATATATGTATGTATATATATATAATATAATACAAATACATATATATGCACATATATGTATGTATATATGTATATCTGTATATATACATATAGATATACATGTATGTATCCATATGTACAAATATAGTGTGTATGTATTACACATGTAAACAAAGATATACATATACAAATATATATATATATATATATTGCAAGTGTGTATGTATAAAATATACATATATACATATGTATATGTATATGCATAAATATGTACATACAAATACATTTACATTGACATATAACTACATACATACGTGTATGTTTACATTCAAGCATGTATATACATATGCATGTATGTATGCAATTGTATGTACATGGATATGTATATGCATGCATGAATGTAAACATATACGTTTGTATGTAGTTATATGTAACTGCATACATACATATATGTATACATACATGCATACATACATAAATTCATACATTCATACATGTATAAATATTTTTGTGTGTGCGCGCATGTGTATTCACTCACACATAAAAACACACACACACACACACACATATGTGTGTGTGTGTATGTATGGATATATCGGCATATGTACATATCAATATGTGTGCATGTATCCATTTGTACCAGTGCAGTGTGTATGTACATATCATATTACACATGTAAAAATACTTATACATATA